GGGCTCCTGGACCGTTCCCGTTTCTCCTCCTCAGCCACAGCGCACATCACGCCTCCTGGTGCAGCTCGTGGGGCAGAACCTGTCGGGGGCACGGGGCCGCTCTGGGGGCCCGCTGAGATGCGGACACTGGCTGCTGGGTGGCCGCCTGTCTTTCCCAAGTCTGGGTGGGTGCTGACGCTAAACCGGTGAGCAGGGCTGGACCTGCGTGGGTGGCAGCTCATCAGGGTCTGGCCAGGCACAAGTGCAGCTATCTGTGTCGGGGTCACGCTGTCGTCCTGCTGGCCACCGCCATGCTCTGCCCTCTCGGCCACTGCACCTTCTGCCTCTGTGCAGCTGCTGTGACTCATGTCCCACGTATGGCCGCCATCTGGGCTGCAGGCCAGGCCCCAGCGTTCCTGGGCCCTCCTGGGACAGACCCTGAACGCCCAGGCGCCTGGCCACCCCCACCTGGACCCACGGACTGCACCGCCTCCCTCATCTTGACTACGGCTGAGGGGCCGGCCTGAGGCCGCAGAGGACGGGGGCGGGGGCACCAGGACCCTCCTGACCCGGGACTCCTCCCAGTCGGGGACACTGAGGCTCAGGAAGTGAGCTCATCCTGTCTATGTGGCTGGAAGCTTCCAGGCTGGGACTCGGCTGAGTAACTCTGTGCTCACTAAGCCCGCGTAGGCCTTTATGATGTGGGGCTCCCTGTGCTGCCTTCACACCCCGCGGCCCGTCTGTGACCTTGTCACCACCTCCTTGCCCAGTCGGAACCGAGGCAAAATGGCCTCGCACGTGAGAAACACTACCTTCCCCACGCAGCAGGAGAGGCGTGAGGAGGACGGTGACGGGCGCCACCTGTCACCGCCCCGCCCCCGCCCCGCCGGCCGGGCCCACTGACCCGAGATCACGTCCAGATGCACGGGGTCGCTGAGGCTGGTCTGGGCCGTGTGGCACGTGTAGTTCCCGCTGTCACTGGTGCTGGCCGTGAGGCTGTAGCTGGACTGGGCCTGAGTCTCCAGGGAGTCGCCGTTGTGGAACCAGCGGGTGGAGGGGCTCCCAGGGCCGGGGGCTCCCTTGCAGGTCAGAGTCACGTTGTCCCCCTGGAGCACGTTGACCCACGGGGGCTCAAGGCTCAGCGTGGCCTTCGGGAGCCCTGCGGAGGGCGGGGAGCAGTGGCGACATCAGGAGAGGGGGCCCCGGGCAGACCTGAGTTCCAGACAGCGCAGTCCCCATGGGCTCTGCTGGGGACACCAGGGGTGGAACCCGCCCAGAGCTGTTCGTGAACGGAGGTGACTGCTCTTGCCGCTAAACCTCCAGGGCACAGGGGACAAGTCCTCTCGGGGGCTCGGCTGCCGATTGGGAGACGCAAGAATTTCCAGAACGGGTCAAGGCGCACAGTCTTGGAGTAAACGCGCACTCACCACGGGCCCCGGGCGGGTCCTGCTCGCCCCCGCGTCACACACACGCGCTCTTGCACGCACACCAGCTGACCAGTGCAGGCCCCCGCCCTGCTGTCCTGGGAGGCGGCCGGCATGTAGAACGGAGCGCCCAGTGGGGCTCACCCCACCCACGGCGGCCAGTGCTGCCTCGTCCTGCTCCTGTCCAGGCCCGAGGCCCTCAGCTACTGGCCAAGACGGGACAGGCTGAGCAGACACGCGCTGACACGTGCAGACACTCACAGACACATGCTGACACGTGCAGACACTCACAGACACGCGCTGACACATGCAGACACTCACAGACATGTGCTGACACGTGCAGCGCGTGAGAGCATCTTCTGTGAGGACACCCCGACGTCAGACGTGCTGACATGTGCAGCACGTGAGAGCATCTTCTGTGAGGACACCCCGACGTCCCAGGGCAGCAGGACAGAGAGCCGTGGCCCCTGTGCACCTGGGCCACCCTCCCCGCCTCCCTGGGGGTGACTCGGGGCGACTGCTCTGGCTCTGCCTGGGCGTGGGGCATGGGCGTGTCTGGGGCACCTCCAGGTGGGGAGCTGGGAGCAGAGGGCGGAGCGGCTGGCGGGGTGGGGAGGCCGTGAGGGTGGTGACTTACCAGGCGCGCCGGCAGCAGGAGCTGGAGGAGACAAAGCAGAATCAGCAGACGCGTCGTCCTGAATACTCACCGCCCGCCAACCCCCTCAGCTCCCTGGCCTTCTCTGTCTCCATGAAACTCGCCTATATCGTCCAGGCCTTTACTTGCCCAGCCGCGTGTCACTGAAATGGCCACCATGTTCAAACGGACACTGGCCTGCCCTTCCGACCCTTCTCTCTAGTAAGCGTGCCCTCCGTTCTCATGGTGATGCCCGCCCCTTCCTCAGCCCCGAAGCTTCCTGTCCTCTGCCCCCAGCCCCCATCACTCGAAGCCTATGCCTCCCTCCAAGCCTCGTGGAGACCTCACCTCCTCCCCAGGGAGCCGGCCACCTGCCCGCAGCCCCAAGCCCCTTCCCCGCCTCTCCGGGGGCACCGTCCCCTCCAGGCCGCGGTCGCTCCCCGCCCTGGCAGCCCCCGCCCGTCCTCTCGAGCGTGTCCTGCTCTGCGGTTCCCTTTCTCTTCTGCATCCCCAATTCCTCCTCCTCAGCCGGAACTTTCCCGTCAGCGTGTATCCAGGGTCTTTCATTAAAAGAAGAGCCTCTCGCCTGACCCCACGGATAACCCCAGACTCCTCCGCCCCGTCCCACACCGACTCCTCCGTCTCCCTCCGCGCAGATGCGCCCGCTGCTCCCAGCCCCGGGCCCCTGTCGCCCTCACCAGCCCCCCGCGTGCCCCTGCTCCTGCCCCAGCCCCCCGCGACCTCCCTGCCGTGGAGACAGGCACACGCATTCCGTTCTCTCCCTGTTACGTGTACTCCCACCGCCCACCCAGCTGTCCGGCCTGTCCCCCCGCTGTCACCCCGCCGTCCCCCGAGCCCCAGCCCTTCGCAGCAGCAGATCCTGGACCCACGACTTTTCTCCACATCCGTGGCCGATCATTTATTCGTTCGACAGTCGCAAATGCTACGCGTGCTCACACCCAGCATGGGCCCTGCGAGGGGACGCGGGCCCTGTGCGGCAGGTCGGGAAGGCTCTGCCGCGTCCGCGCTGAACCCG